CTTCTTCTCAATTGCTTCCTGGGACACGGATGTTCGCTTGTATTGGCAAACCAATCTAGTAAGGATGCATCCCTTAAATAATTTAAGCTGCAGGATTTTACATAAGACTTAAAAGACACACGAAACATAAAGTTTTCTAAGAAGACGGCGAATAACGTATTTTTAAAAAAGATTCTCAAAAAGACCAATTGACAAGATACGATCATTGAAGGAGGCACAGTTGATTTGTCTTTTCTTTTTAACAAAAAGCAACTTATGCTAAATTTGATTGTTGTAGGAGAGTACAAAAATATTCTTAGTGGAGCGTCGATCTGTCATCACGTGTAAAAAGTGTAAGTAAAAAGTCGCCTACATGAGTAAAAGTACTACAGCTGCGCTTAAATAATCATTTTTATTTTAACTGAAGACCCTAAATGTGCTCATTTTTTGTAAGCTCCAGCCTAGGGAGTAGAAATTAAAGTATTTTAAGTTCTTGTCTGCCCGTAGACTCAGATCGTCTTACCAGGAACACCAACAATGCATTCTCTTACTCAATGTTGACGAATTTAGTCATTTTACTTAAGTCAACCAGCAGCAGTCAGCAAAAAAACCAAGAACCAAGTTGGCAGCTGTTCTTTCGGCTTTTAAAAATAGAAGCGTATTTTTGAGAATTTTGGATAACACTTTGAGAGACAGCGTGCTTGCTTTAAGCCCGTTGTAACAGTTTAATTTCGTTCTTTCCGCAATCGTAACCATAAAAATAGTGGCCACTTGAAGAATAGATAAACAGTAGGCAACGAGCAACGAAATACTCAGTGGCTCCGCCTTAGGTGTGATATTTTGAAAAGAATGCATAAACACTCAATGGTTAGTCTATATATCGCAATCTAAAATCGAATTGCGGTCGTCAGTTATGCACCCTGCCGATTTAAAAAAATCAAATTTTTCGTCTTCGAGAGACGCAAGCTGGAGGCTTCATACCTGAAAATTGAGCTGCGTGAAAATTAACGAAAATATAATCCTATCACAATGGCCCGATTGTGAAAAACTCAGTGTCAATATTTTTAGAATAAAATTTCAGTTTAACTGAAGACACATACGGAAGGTACATATACATGTGCACTCGCAATGTTAGCTGCTTCTGGCCGCATTTTCTTTACTCTGCGTTTGATGAGAATCTGAGGCACCGACGTCGAAAATTTACAGTTTAAAGTTTCTTTTCCAAAGTATGTATCTGATTGCAACAGGTGTGCAACGTTTGTAATTTTTTTGTGGACTCTAATGTCCATTATGGTGCATATTTCTGCTAAATGCTAGAGTACAAAAAGTACAGGGAAATAAAACGGTTTTGCCCAGATTCTTCAGGGGTAGCAACTTTAAATTCTTTTGAAAACACATGCCTTTTGCACAACTTCAAAAACTTGTTTCCCGTCAAATGTGCGTGAAATACATAATCCTACTGCAGTTGTAGATTTTACGAAATATCACTGAATCCAACCAGTTTTGACGCAATCCTCAAAACGTTTGCACATATTCCACTATAAAGGTCGGCGCACAAAAGCGCTGCTCAAACATTAGAGACCCCGATGGTCCGTGGATACCTGTCGTTCTAACACGATACTTTTTCACACTAGTACTTGAATGGTTAGGAAAGTACGTGGACGTATTCCAGGTAGCGGCTGTTTCCTATTTTTATCTTTTGATCAAAATCTTAACTTAGCAGGTTCGAACTGTATCACGCTATCACGCTAAGGCTAAAAGTTAAAAAAAACTTATATGAGAACATGATTCAATTTTTGTAGTTTATAATGATAGCACACGGTATTGGGAGCATTCAGCGTACATGAGTGGTAATTAACCTTTCGCAAAATAATTGAACTCCGATAAAATACACAATCTCTTTCGAAAACAGAGCAAATCATTGACGTAGGCAAAGGAAGCTTATTTGAGTTCGAATTACTTATGTGGCCCCATCTGAACAGGCAGAGGGAATAGAGAAGACAGAAAGGGCAATTTTCCCGAATTCTTCTCTTAACTCTTACCAAAATTGTAATCCCAGGTATCATTTGTTTGAAGTAAACATAAAGCAATCTACATTAAGGGTGAGTCCCG